TGTTTTGGGGCTGTGACACAACATCATGGTGGGAAAGTTTAGCAATGTAAAACCTTTCACCTCATGGCTGGGAAGTGATAGAGAGAAAGGGGATAGACCTGGGTCCTACAATACCCTTTGAAGGTATGCCCCCAGAGATATGAAGATCTTCCACTAGTTTCCCCTCTTGGAGTTTCTACCATCTCCCAATATGGCCTTGCTGGGGACCAAACCTTTAACACATGGATGCTTGGGGGACATTTAATATATAAACTATAGCACATTTGTTATCAGAGAATGTGTGACTCTCTCCAGTAAAATAACCACATCTGACACTATTTTCAGTAGTTCATAGGTGCCGCAGTCTGGCTGGGCACAAAATCACGAGCCACTCAAGCAGGAACAAAGTTTATTTTTTGAAACTGCCACCAATGTCCGGTACGGCCGGGGAAGAATTTTTTCTTCCACCCACGCGGCCTCCTCTCGGGAGGCAGAGAGAGCTCCTCCCCCGGAACTCCCTCCTACTGTACTTCCCCAACCAATGGGAACTCTCCAGGAGTCCCGCAGCCGGCCTAGGTGAACAGCAGGAGTCCAATATCCATATGAATGCAAATCTTAACATAATCATATCATCTCAATGGCTAGCTGGCGTCACCTTTCGACCCAAAATGGCATGCATCATATACTTGGCTCTTAGCTCATAGGTGTACTTGTTTTGTAGTGGCTTATACCCATCCTTGTACTTATTTATTTATAGACTCAAATCTCTGAAGATCCAGAGGTTCCCATCTAATTTTTTTTTTAATTCACAGCATATCATACATAGCAGGTACCAATAAATTTGCCTTAAATGCATTAATTTCTTTAAATAAATTATGTTGTTAATAAAATAGAAAAACCACAGACTGGAAAAAATCTTGGAAGGCATATATGTAATTAAAGATTATTCTGGGGGGTATAGGCATGATCCCATTATTAGTTTACATTCTTGAACTTGAATTCACAGATGAATTACTTGGCTATGTGTGCTATAGACAAAGCCTAAGGGCCTTTGGAAATGAATTTAGTTTCGTAATTCCAGTTTATGTAGCCAATATAAGTTCATTTTTAGTAGAATTCTCTCTCTCTCTCTCTCTCTCTCTCTCTGATTCTTTCTCTTTCTATCTTTTTGGTAGTTGTAAAATGGACAGAATGCCTTTATTTTATTTGTTATGTGGTGCTAAGGATCTAACCCAGCGCCTCACATGTGCTAGACAGGTGCTCTGCCACTGAGCCATGCCCCAGGGCCCTATGTCAAATTTTGAATGCTCTTGATTAAGATATATATATATATAATAGTTAAAGCTTCATCCCAGGGTTTTATAAACTGACTTCCAGACCACTCACGTATAATTGAATCAAGCCTTTATTGAAGCACACCGGTGGCGGCTGACCAGAACATAAAGCTGTTCCCCTGATCAGCCCCGAACAATTGCAAGGGCACTCCTTCTAAGCCTGAAAACCACAAAAGGGATGTTGGGGGGGGTCTAGCCAATGCAAGCAAGCCAGGTTACAGAAGCGGGACAATGCAGTCAAGCAGAGGGAAGCCTAACCAATCACAGTTAGCCTAGTCACCCCAGTTACAGAAACAGAACCTGTTACCCTAGTTACAGAAACAATACCCCATTAGGTAGTTCCGTGTTCTTAAAGGTTTCTATAGCAAAAGGAAAAGAACATCTTGACCCAGTCATGACTCTTCTACTTGGCATGGTTGTTTTACAGGATGAAGTCATAAAACAAAATGGAGTCACATTTGCTCCTACTATTATATATATATATATATATATATATATATATATATATATATAGAGAGAGAGAGAGAGAGAGAGAGAGAGAGAGAGAGAGAGTACTAGAAATTGAACCCAGAGACACTCTACCACTGAACTATAACCCCAGCACTTTTTATTTTTAATTTTGATATAGGGTCTTGCTAAGTTGCCTAGGCTGTCCTCAAACTTGCTATCTTCTTGCCTTGGCCTCCCAAGTAGTTGGGATTACAGGCATGCACTACTGCACCTTGTTAGTATTTGTTTTTCTTGTAAATACATATGAAAAAGTATATGGCCTGATGTAAGTTGTATTTTTTTTTTACTGCGGATTATACTGAATTAAGCTTGCAAACCACTTGATTGAAGGCTGTTTAATATTGTCTAATAATACACAACAATATTTACAGTGTTAGATCACAAAATCTCTCTCCTGTTTGTTCACTTATGAACAAGTAAATGATATGTGGCTTTTTACTCTCAGAAAATTGACATTAATTCATTTTGTTGTTTGTATTCTTGCTCATCACCTGACAAATATATTTATATTTCATAAAAACAGTTATCCAGGCTGGAGATGTGGCTCAAGCGGTAATGAGCTCACCTGGCATGTGCGGGGTGCTGGGTTCGATCCTCAGCACCACATAAAATAAAGATGTTGTGTCCACCGAAAACTGAAAAATAAATATTAAAAAAACCCAGTTATCCAAAGTACCAGCATTTATATTTTAAGAATGACAAAGATCCTTCCCTTTAACTGAAAAAAACCAGTTTTTTGGTTTGTACTATGATCAACTTCTTGATTTTAATGGCACAATGGATGGGTTTAGCTGGAACATTGGCAGACATTCCAGTGAATCATATTTTCATGTACAAGATCCTAGACAGGATCTGGCCAAGGAAGGACGTGCTTCATCATTGTGTCTCATTGAGGGCTACAGGATGAATGATAGGATTATGAAGAAAATGCAGAAAGTTGATAAAGTTATGTAGATTATAAGTGGTGTACCTAGGAGTGGACCAAAGTCTTTCCATGTCTTTATCAGTATGAAGTAAGGTAGATTTGTGTACACTGAGTGGCATTTCTGTGATGGATAAAGATCTCAGAAGAGATGACATAGTATAGGAGATGCTCCTAGAGATGAACTCCTTCATCACTTTTCATCTTTTTATGTGATTAAAATGAAAAGATGTTTGAGATTAAGATCATGGTGGGCAAGATATCATATCATGTATATTATATATAGAATGTTAGAGAAGAAAAGGTAATCACTCTGTAAGACCATCACACATTCACGTCTCAATGACAATAAAATGAGAAGATGGAGACAAATTGCAATGCTAATGGATCAATTTAAGTAGAATAAGAATCCCCAAACCTGGGACTGGGGTTATAGCTCAGTGGCAGAGTGCTTGCCTAGCACATGTGAGGCACTGAGTTCGGTCCTCAGCACCATGTAAAAATAAATAAAATGAAGATATTGTGTCCATCTACAACTAAAAAATAAATAATAAAAAAGAATCCCCAAACCTACCAGTCAGTAGTGCATCACTAATTATGAGATTAAAATGGATACATATAAGTAATTGAAATAAATGGTACATGGTCTCATGATATCTTAGGTTTTCTTAAGGGTTCAGTCTCAGAAAGATGATATTCCTCACTGAAGAACTTTATCGGTGACTCTTAGAAATGAAAATATTTAAATAAGATGCCTAATAGAGCCTGTTTAGCAAAGATCTGCAAATCTTTTTTTTTTTTTTAATGTTTTGGTACAAGGAATTAATTGAACCTAGGGCACTATCCTTTTTATTTTTTTATTCTGAGACAGAGTCTCCCTAAGTTGCTTAGAATCTTGCTAAGCTGCTAAAGCTGGCCTCAAACTTGTGATCCTCCTGCCTCAGCCTCCTGAGTAGATGGAATTACAGCATTACAAGCATGTACTACCAGGCCCCACGGGATCTGGAAATCTTAAGGGTGTTGTCATGCAATACCCGCACAGGGAGTCTAAGGTAGAGTATTTTTATCTCAAACAGATTTGAAGTTGTGTGCAGAGACTAATCAATGACCTCACAGAGATATTTAGAAAAAGCATAAAGCTTTTAAGAGAATTCTGGTGGATGAACTAGGAGCTCTTTAATAAGGGAGAGAGAGAGAGTATAAAATGAAGAGAACTCTGAACTCCTGATCTTTTTCCGATCAGAAGCAAGTTGAATGGACTTTTTAAATTGCTAATACAGTTTTCTTATTGTAAATAAAGATTTCAGTTCAAAGGGTAAAGCCAAAAGCCACAGAGAACAACTGACACAGAAAAACTAGTAATAATGATGACGATGGCTCCTGTTCTCAGTGAATTTCAGAGTTGCTAAGGGCCAATGACAGTTGTTACTCCCACTTTCCCCATTTTTGAATAGGTCATTAGGAGTTGTCTTATACCTTTCCCATCATGGTATTGTATATGTGTCTCTGTGGGAATCGTTAACTTATTTATTTCACAGGTGTTTGGATTGAGAAAAACAATACTCAATGATACTCAAGGAACTGTTCCAAGGAGCCATATCTGTATCTGGACCTGATAACAGATGAGGAGCTCTTAGACCTGGATGGAGCTTGAGCCAGGTGCTCTAAAGAATGGAATATAGAGCCTCAGAAGAGGGATGTGTGTGATTGCATGTGGGAGGGATGAGTGGCCAGAAGGCAAATTGTAATGTTCTAAGATGGCTACAGTATTTCCCAGCCCACATGTTTTTTTAGAACCTTGGCACCCTCCTTTCAAGAGTGTGTTCTTCTTGACTTTGGTAGATGTCCATGACTGCCATGACCCATAGTAATGACAAGAGAGATGCTATCTAACTTCCACGACGAGGTCAAAGGAAGGCCATGCAATTGCGCCTTGCTGACTTGGGATCCTCCTTTTAGAACTCAATGCCAGTAACCAGTGAAAAGGCCCAAGTGGAGAGAAACTAAGAACCCCCTAACTCACAGCCCTGCCTGAGTTCCCAGCTGACAGCCAGAACAACTTCCCTGCTCTGAAAGTAGATCCTCCAACCCCCTGTCACTCTGCCTCAGCCAATGTCACTTGGAACAGAGGTGATCCACTCCTATTAAATACTGTCCACTTAGCAGTCTTGAGAAAAATAGATATTCTTTTAAATCACAATGCTTTGGGATAGTTTATTCCATAGTAGGTGATTGAAATAAACCCCAAACACTAGTCATCTAAAACAAGAACATTTATTTAGTTCACATTTCCACACTTCGGGAAGGGCTTGACAGGGACAGCTCTTCTCTGCTCCAGGGTGCTTGAGGTATTCATTGGGAAGGTTCAGGTGTCTGGGTCTGGAATCATCTGGGTTTTATTTTACTCAGATTATCTGGCACCTGGGCAGAGATGACTCACAATCTCACTTCACTTGTCAGTGCCACAGAGGTCCCAGCAATTGGCCTCTCCTGTGTCTTGGGCTCCCTATACCACCAAAGCCTGAATGTAGTCAAACTTTAGGAGAGGCGGCTCAGAACTGTGAGGGCGTGTTCCCAGAAAACCAGGTGATCTCTGAAGCTACCCAGCACCACTTTCTCTTGACTGATTGTCCAGTGACAAGCCCATGTAGATTTGAAGGGAGGGGACCTAGGTCCCACTCTTGGTGGGAGAATGGCAAATAATTTATAGCTATGTCATAAAACTATCATAAATGGTTTTACTATGATACATTAAAGATAATTTATTGTGAACAGGATTACAGAGCTTCTTGAATATGAAGCATGATATCTTGGACATCAATTTTGGAAAATTGCCTTTTTAAAAATGTTTATTCTTAAGTTTTAGGTGGACACAATCTCTTTATTTTACATTTATGTGGTGCTGAGAATTGAACCAAGTGCCTCGGGCATGCTAGGTGAGCACTCTACCACTGAGCCACAACCCCAGCCCGAAAATTGCCTTTTAAAAAATATAAATCCCAGTGACTTGGTAGGCTGAGGCAGGAGGATGGGCTATTCAAGGCCAGCCTCGGCAACCTTTAGCAAGAGCTCCTCAACAATGTAGTGAGACCCTTTCTCAAAATAAAAAATAAAAAGCACTGAGGATATTGCTCAGGGGTAGAGCACCCCTCAGTTCAATTCCCAGTACCCAAAAGAAAAAAAATTCCTCTACATTTTTCTATAGAAAATTGAGTCCATTGTTCACAGACAGACATACTTGTTTCTTGATTTTTCAGGTCTTTAGATTTTTATTTCCCTCTTTATTTTATAGTTTCTAGTGAACAAGAAACAAAATGTTAACAAATAGGCAAACAGCTTGACTTGCTTCCTCTCTAGTAAGTAATTTAATAGAAGAGTTGAAAACACATAAGAAAATAAAGAGTGTTACCTGTGACTTTCAGTTTTTGTGTTAAAAGTCCTCTAAGATTATCTGTTTGCTTCTGAATAATTAATTCTGACTTCTTGGAACAGATTATGTGCTAGGTTCTATCCTCACCAGCCATTGTCTTTTCAAATATACTTGCACAATATTCTGCAATGCTGAAGTAAAAGGAAGTGAGGAAATGATTTATCTAAGTTATCCCACCATAATTTTCCCACATCAACCCTAGAATCTGTAAATGAGATGGAAGAGAGATCAGAGTCTAATCACCATGGTGCAGAGTTTATACTTAATTACTCTACAGAAAGATATTCCCAATTCCTCCCCTCAAAGGACCTGCCCCCCCCACGTGAATTTCCTTATATCAACACCCTTCTGTATGCTATTGGTTAATAAAGATTCTACTCTGCTTCCAATGATTGGAATATTGATGACCATTCTCTCACAGTGATGAAAAAATTCTCCCATCTTTAAAAGTTATCTAATACAAAGCATTTACCAAAAGAATTAAAGAATTGATAGAATTAAAAAATGAAAAAAAAAACCTAGAAAACCCCCCAAATTTTAACAAAGGGGGCATTTGTGCAGCTTATGTCTGAATCTTCTACCACATGCATGTGTCACAATAGCAAAGTACTATGTTGACAAATAAAGCAAATTCAATAAAATGACATGAAATATGCCATAAATGCCAAATAGGCATTTAATGCTACCCAGGGGAACTTACATAGTCACTAGACACTAAAATATGATCTAAACTCTTCCCCTGTCCATAACAATTTGGATTTGCATTTACAACTTGGGGGACACACCCTTGTGGGTGCCTCCAAGGTGTTGGGAGAAGAAGGACAGAATTTGCTTCCAGGCATCCACCTGGGCCTTAGAATGAGCCCTGAGCTCCCCACCCCAGATCACAACTTTGTTGAACAATTTGTGCACAGAAGCTGGGCACACGGAGAAGTAAGGAGGCTCAATGTAGTGCCCAGTCCCAGGGTAAAGGATGATCCTGGGTTTTTCCTTTCCATGGGCCTGTAGTCTTTCAGAGGCTGTTTGCACATTTAAGTCACTCCTCCAGTTATGGTCATCCTGACCAGCAATGAAGAGGATGGGCCCTTGTGCCTTCTCTATTGGAATGATACTGGGGTTCTCAAACTTCTCCACAATATCATTCCGAATATCCACAATGTCCAGAATGCCTGAGAAAGTAACCTTGATTCGCTTCAGGTCAAGGCCCAGTGGTGGGATGCTAATCTGCTTGTAGTGTATGGTTGAGTTTCCGCTGCTCCCAGATCCATTGATGGATACAGTGGCTGAGATATTCTTCAACAATGAGGCCATTGAGAGACAAATGTCAGCTCCTAGAGAAAAGCCCAGAAGCCCAACACCTGGGCCCTTTACCTGAAAGAAAGGAAGAAAGAAGAGTTAAGACTTTATTCAACATGAATATGCAACTCAAAATGCTGCTAGCTTCAATATGTGAAGTATCCACAATGTCAGGTGACAGGGGAGTTTCTTCCCAAGTATTAACTATCTGGTTAAACATGAAGAAAAAAAAAATCTTAAATTCAATGGCAAATTTAGGAACTGGTTCCAGAGAATCATCCATTCAAGAATGCTCAACCATGGAGCCTGTCAAGTTCAGGCTCATTCAAGTAGATCTGATTCCAGTCTTTATATGGCTTGGTATCCAACTGTGTGGAACTAAGTTCTCTTCCAAGATGGCAATCATTAATCAGACCCCATCTAATCATTACAGGCAAATGATTAATTTTATGGAAACAAAGTAAGACTTCAGAGTCCAGTTCAGTAGTTCTTAGCCTCTGAACAGGTGGGCAAGTTCAGATCAGATTCTCCAAAATCAGGAAATTACCGATTAAATGACAAGCATGCAAAGATACTAATGAGAGGCTCAATTTGCTTTACAAAATGAATTTAGGAATTTCTCAGTGAAATTGCACATGGATTATAAGAACAATTCTACATCCTGAACCCATTTGTTAGAGAAATCGGAAATAATAAGCACCCAAAGCCTACGAGGTCTCCAAAAGGAATCTCAGTGAAAACAGAACAGAGCAGCATCACTGCACTGGTTCTGGTGACACCAGCTATGGAGACATTTCTTGGGAGACTGATTAAAAAAAGGGAGGAGAACCTGGGGGTGTTGAAGCATGTACCACACAACTTCTTCAAAGTAGTCCAGGTGTATGTTGCTGAAATCCTTGGGGAGATCATCAAAGTCATAAAAAGCTACAGCCAATGTGGCAAAGCCATGGCCAGCCAGAAGGCTGGCCCGATATTCCAACAGGCCCCCTCCAACTCCATAGATATCAATGATCCCAGGGAAGAGTCCAGGTCCTAGAGAAGAGAATAGGAAGGCATTATACAGCTTGAAGAATTTGCTTTCCTCTAGAGAGCTTTCTAAGTTATTTAGTGGGGTTCCTATAAATCCAAGGAAAGAGGACAGATTCCTGAGTCACTACTGAAAAGAGATACAAGTTCCTTGGAAGGAGAAAAAAATCCAAAGCATAGAGTAACTTCTCATTGGTGATTTAACCCTCCATGAGATTCTATGGTAAATTATCTGCAGGGTTTTAAGAATCATCAGTTGCTGTAAAAGAGAGCAACAGAACTTTTTTAGTGGATTAGAACATCATTTGGGGATGGGGATGTGATTCAGGTAGGGCCCTTGACTGACATGGGGAGGCCTTGGGTTCTGTCTTCAGCACCAGAAACAAAACAACAGGGTGCTGTGCTGGAGGACTGCACATAGAATAACGAATGTGAATAAAAGCTGGATGTTGTGTTGCATCAACCATTGGCGTTGTTTGTGTACTATTTCAGCTGTCCACGTAGAAAGAGGAAAGAAAAACACCAGAAGTTGGCTGTCTGTGAGGAAGGCAGTGAATGTGAAGTGTGATCTATGGTAGAGAAGGACATGAAGAAGTGAAGGATCCAGTAAGCCTAAGACATGAGACAGAGGCAAAAGGCAATAGCATCCTTAACCCTGGCCACTTTCTCTAAGAGCAGCCCTGCTGTGCCTGGAGAGATCTGCAGAGTAGTGATTAATAACAAAGTGAACCAGATTCTTCCTTTGAACAATAACAGTACTCACTCTTTGGAATATAATAGAGATAAAATAAGATAATGCAAAAGAGTCTAACGAGTCAAAATCTTCTATTTTGATTGGTCGGCCAAGAACACGGCCAATGCCAGTTTCTCAACAGGTGCCGAAGTAGCCAAAACCCAGCCAGCACAGCACAGGAAACCAGCGGCTGCCAAGGCAACAACTCCTATTCAGCAGCAGCCTGGGCTCACCTGGCGGCAGGAAGAGCGTGGCCCGCACCCTGCCCTCCCGGACCGGCACCCGCTGGACCCCGGGCGGCAGGAAGTGGCGCTCGTGCAGCGCCCGAGCCAGCAGCCGCCCAGCGTCGGGCTCGTGGCCGTCCAGCACCTCCAGCTCCACCACGAAAGGCGTCTGCACGTCCCGCTTCACCAGGCGCCAAAACGGCTTATCAGGCTCCATGGCCCAGATCAGCCCCATGGGCTCCAGGCCCGCGAAGCTGCCACCCAGCGCGGGCGTGCGCGCCAGGTCCAGCTCGCCCCTGGCGTCCGCGCGGTAGCGCGCGTGGGCGCGGAAGAGCGCGCCCTTCTCGTCGCGCAGGGAAGCGCGCAGCGTGACCAGCTGCTTGGGGGCTAGGCCACGCACGGTGATGTGCACCGGCTCGTCCCAGCAGCAGTGGCTGGCGGGCTCCAGGATCAGCGTCGCTGCCATGCTGGACTTTGAGCAGAGACTCTTGGAAGTGGTGGCTGGTACGCGTGATTGAGTCCCAGTGCGGGTTTGGAGAACCGAGGCGTCAGGAGCGCTGGGAGGCTGAACGGATCACGGTGTATCTGGGACCTTATACCTGTGGACTCCACGCCAAGAACTGGTCTGAGATCCAGGAACTAGCCCCTGGGCGGGCTGAGGGGACGTCAGAAGTTTTTGCAGTAGGGCTGGACATAGCCAGAGGAACATACTATGCCTGTCACCACTCCCACTTGTTTGAGTCCAAGTTGTTGGGTGGTGACATGAGCAGTGAATGCAGTCACGACAAAGTCCACCCACTCTATGGATTCTTTGACAGCTTTTTTTTCCTTTCCTTTTTTTTTTTTTTTAACCTTTCAATAAGTTATAAATTTTTCTTAGGCTGATATTAGAATACCTGATATCAGATAACTTATAAAGAATAGGGATTTATTCTTACATTTTGAAGACTGAAAGTCCAAGTTAGAGGGGCCCACATTTGGTGAGTACCTTCTTGCTGTGTCATTCCATAGTAGAATAGCAAAAGAACATTAAAAAGTGAGAGGAGAGCTGGGGATGTAGCTCATTTGTAGAATACGTATTTAGCATACACCAAGCTCTGGGTTCAATCCTCAGCACCAAAAGGGGGAAAAACTAGTGGTGGTGAGGCAACACTCATTTTTAGCAGGAACCTACTCCAGGGATAACAAACCCATTCCTGCTGTAAAAGCATTAATCTGTTCAATCTCTCTTACAGGGCCCACCTTTCAACACAGTGGTATTTGGGATTAAGTTTCCATCACAGACAGACATTTTCAAGCCATAACAAATTTATATTAAAAAGATCCTGGGCAGGTTTGTACCTCAATGGTGGAGGTTTATCTAGCATTCCTGAGACTAATTTTGATTCTTAAAACAGCAGAAACCCAAAACAAAACAAACAAACAAAAAAACAATAACAAAAAAAATTCCAGGGGCTGTGGTTGTAGCTCAGTGGTAGAGCACTTGCCTAGCATGTATGAGACACTGGGTTTAATTCTCAGCACTGCATAAAAATAAATAAATAAAATAAAGACATTGTATCCATCTACAGCTAAAAAAATTTTTAAATTAAAAGAAATAAATATATTGTGTCTACCTACAACTATAAATAAATAAATAAAAATTTTTAAAAAGAATTCCATGTTTACAATTCAATGATTTTTCGCATATATGCATGCATATATACATAAACACCAAACCCACAATAACAGAACTAGAAGCAGATCATTAGCCCAGAAGCCACTCTTTCTCTTTTCCCAGATATTTCCCTCTTCCCCAAATACTCTTGTATTATTCAGCATTTGATTCTACAAAGAAATACCTGAGGCAATTGACCTATAAAAAGAAAATGTTTAAATTATAGTTCTAGATGTTTCAGTCCAAAATCAGAAAGCCCCCTTTGTTTGAGCTTCTGGTGAGGGCACAAGATGTCAATGGTGAGGAGTGCCTGTGCACCCATCATCAGCCATAAAAAGGACACAGAGATTGAGAGACTTGATCTCATAATCCCCTTCAAGAAACACCCCCAGGGCTGCTTATATTTTATTTAGAGACAGGTTCTGGCTAAGTTGCTTAGGGCCATGCTAAGTTGCAGAGACCAGCTTTGAACTCTTGCCTTAGCCTCCTGAGCTGCTGGGATTACAGATTTTTCTTTGTTTCTGGTTTTAAGGGGTACTGTCTCCGATGGGATCCTTAAGGTGGATTTTTAACAGGAATTGCTCCAATTGCCTTTCCTATCTTGCCTGGAATTTCCCAAGTTTCTGGATTAGTGTCAGTTTCCATCAACAGTAGCAGAGAACTTGTCCTGGAGCCATAAGAATGGCTATACGCATATGGACCAAAATGTCCCTCCCCCAGTAAAGCAGCTGGACTTTTGGGCATGATTAAGAAGGAAAGAGTGGGGGCTGGGGATGTGGCTCAAGGGGTAGTGCACTCGCCTGGCACGTGTGCAGCCCGGGTTCGATCCTCAGCACCACATACAAACAAAGATGTTGTGTCCGCCGAAAACTAAAAAAAAAATAAAATTAAAAAAAAAAAAGGAAAGAGTGAAAAGATTGCCCTCCCATTCACAGGTGAGGGCCTTGAGAAGCTTCTAGTTAAGGGTCTTTTAGAGATTCCTTTTTTTTTTTTTTTTTGATGAATTGGAGTGTTGAGAGGAGGACAGAATTCTAAAGGAGGATGGAAAAACTGGCTCCTATTTCCAAAAGGAAAGTAATTCGTTTCACTCTATGGTTGTGGTCACTTAGGGTTTCCTTACAGAGATGACAATCAAGAAGTTATGCCATGTGCTTCCTCAGTCCTGTTGTTGGACCTTGGGGGAAGCATCTGAACTTGGAGACATCCATCTCCAGGGCCATCTGACTTCCAGTGGTCCCCCTTGCAAATAGGACAAGGTTTGGGCAGACTCTTTGACTCCCATGGCCATCCTGCTTGAAGTGGCCTTCCTGCCTACAATTAAAGCAGGCTGCGTGGGACTTCCCTTTCTCTTGGGAGCCTTGTTTTGGGTTGACCTCTGTAATTCAGCCACTAGGACCACTACCTTTCTATTGTGCTGTTCTTCCTTCCTTTTAGTTTCCTCTTGATCTCTATGTAAAAAAAATCTTAGTAGCCATTTTAAGATTGTCCAGAGTTTTTTTCAGGTCCTAAGGGAACTCTCTGGAATTTCCTTTGGGTGCCTGGAGCTGACTGGTTATAAAGTGATCTCTCAAGATCAGTTGGCTCTGTAGACCTTGAGGTCATGCTGATATATTTGGTCAGAGCCTTTCCAGGAAGGTGGAAGGGGTCACTTTGGAACCCTGAATGTCCTGAGATAATGTAGAATAATTTAAAGGCTTAATACAAATCCTCTTAATCCCTTCTATCATGCAGAGCTGAAAATGTTTGTTTCCAGTCCCTTATGGAACACTTAGGGTCCCAACAGGGATCTTGGGGAATGACTAGTTTTCCCATGGGGAAATGTTCATTTTTTTTTCTTGGCCAGTCAGGATATTCCTATTCCCATTGGCTGCATATAATTCATCCCCATAGACCTTGTCTATCTATAGGGCTACCACATTTTTAGTCGGGGTCAGGTTTGATTAAAGAGCAACATAACATCTTTCCATGCCAAGTCAAAATTTGAGTCAGTCCCTAAGAAGCCTCAATGTATTTGTCAGGGTCATCTGAAAATTTCCCTAAATCAGACTTTATCTGTCTTAAGTTATGTAAAGAGAATGGAGCAGGCACTCTGGTGGGTCTCCCATCTAGGCCCATATCTGCTTCTCTTAAAGGCAAAAGGGAGGGATAAATTTGGGGTATTGATTTAAGTCCCTGGAAAGGATGAGTGGGAGAACAGTGTATTATTCTCCTTTTAGAGGAAGAACTTCTTCCCTGATTTAATCCTAAGATGAAAGCAGCCAGAAGTGCTGAATCTGGCATTTTTAAGATAATTTGGAGTTGTCTCTCTCAAAGTGAAGAAGGCTTGCATGTAGGGGACTTCAAACCATGTACCCTCTTTTGCAAAACAGGTCTAACTCTAAGATGATGTGTAATTGATACTCTCCTCTGAGGCCCTTTCTCTCCATCCTCCAGTTCATACTCAGGCTGACTTGGATGCAGAAAAATACCAGGTATTTCTTTTTTAAGAGTTTGTGCATCTCTTCTTTAAGATACATTCTACTAGTATGTAGATGGCAGAGGAGGTATTTCCCATCTACAACAGAAAGAAGAAAAACAAGTTATTCCATTTGTCTTATGATCAGGGCTTCCCCTGGTTTTTCTTCCCTGTCCCATGAGTGACCAGGGTAAAGGGTTGTGGCTACTGGATTAATTGCTCTTACTGACGTGGACTCACATCCTGTGATTCCCTTAGATTCTTTTCCTGTCTTTTATAATTAACTCTGGCTTGCCAGTGTTGAGCCCACTGATCTGTAAAACTGCTTGCTTGCTTGTATGCCCTACTCCTGGATGGCCGTACAAAGAACAATGCACCAAGCAAGTTAATGCTGTCATTGTATCTGTTGACTAATGTTTAAAACCTCTTTCCTTGTTGTAACTGGTATGAGAGCTGAGAAAATAGGTGGCAAAGATGTGGGATCAACTGTCCTACAGTTAGGTTTGATCATCCCTCATGGCCAGTATGGACTTGATGTGTTTGTTAGTCTCATCTATTTCCACATCAGGGGGAAGGACTGGTAGCTAGGATGAAGTGTCACAGCCACATTTCAGCAACAAGGAGGTTTTAGAAAGAGTTGTTCTGAGGCTGGGTTTACCTGGATTCCGTTGTTCAGTTCGGCTTTATCTGTTCCATAGGTGATGGCTATCATCTCAAAGTGGTTGGCTGGTGTTATTTTGTTAGGACTTGTACTTCTGCAGAATTTTGATAGTCAATAAGTACAAAGTTGAACAAAAAACAAATCCACTTGGCATAATAGTTTTGAATCAAGAACTTACTGCTAAAATTAACCAGTGATATAAATCGAATGACCAAAAGTGGCCATTAGTGTGAGTCCTGTTCTAACAGTGGAGGCTGTTCTTATATGTAGTTCAGGCTCAATTTTCCAGGTCCAATATGTAGTTTTAGCAACAGCTAAACCATCTAGAGTTACCTTATCATTTGAAATGCCATGATTGGATTGAATTAAGAGTGTTATAAAATGGAAGATTAGTATAATTTGAGCCTAAATTGCACTTGGAAATTTTGCCAACATTATCCACTATCTAAGTAGACTTAAGAATTCCTTAGATGTTATGTCAGTTATCCATAGTAGCTATTGATTATGAAATTTTAAATATAGCATCATACTGCCATATGAAAATACATAGGATAATAAAAATAAAAGAAAAATTTTTGCTATGGTATGGAGTTTTGTTCTGACATCAATTTCTTGTCATGATTTGCAGTTTAAATGTCTCTATTTATGGCATTGAGTAGTTTCATGAACTTTCTTTGTGGCTCAGATATCAACATGAGCTATGAGTCTTCACCCTTGAAATTTACTTCAAGTTTTCCAGCTTTAAACTTTTAGGGATTTTGGAAAAAATAGTTTCTGTTCTTTTTTTGGGGGGCGGAGTATTGGGGATTGAACCCAAGAGTGCTCAACCACTCAGCTATATCCACAGTTCTGCACTTTTATTTTGTACTGAGACAGGATCTAATTAAGTTGCATAGGCTGGCCTCAAACTTGTGAT